CGGTGGCCAGCCCCGCCTGCCTGCCCCAGCATGCTGCAAGCACTATGGTCCCCAGCACACCTGGATAAGCAGATGCTCCTCCAGATGATTCCAGTCTACCACACAGCCCCATTGGACCCCTCAGCAGGACGGGGGTGTCTGCAGCCACAAAAAGTTGCGATGCCCACCAGGAAAGCCTGCACCAGGGAGCTCAAGCATCTCCCTCACTTTCCCACTCCTGTGTCCCCGACCTGCTGGGTGTCCCCTGCATGGCAGCTGGGACCAGGCTCCCACCATGGGCTTGTGGCTCATCATAACCTCCTCCTGGGTCCCTCTCCTCCATCCAGCCTGGGGTGATGGCTGGCTTCTGCTGCTCCAACCCTGTCCCTGGCTCCTTGCTCCAGTGATTTCTTTGGAGCACCTCCTGGTTTTGGGGATGAGCTATCCAGCCCAGGCTTCTCCAGGCTCGGGGGTTCCCAGCATCTTTCTGGAGCAGATTTGTTGGCTGTGCTCAGGTGCGGGCAAAGGCTGGGGGAGCGGGAGACCAGGAGGAAAGGCCAGAGCAGTGGTCTGGGACAGGGTAGGATATCTGCGTGCAGCTGGGAGCTGCTCTGCTTTGTTGCCTGGTTTTGCACAGCCGAACAGCTTGTTGTTGTTGTTGTTATTGTTGTCATGAAAATCCGACCAAACCCCTGCAGCCTTTCCAAAGTGAAAGTGGCATTTTCCCTTCCAGAGGACACCTTTGACATCACGGGATGGCTGCTCACATATTTTTGCACAAGTATTACAGACTACATTCTCATGGCTGGCAGCGGCGATATTTTGTGCCACCAACGCCCTGCGTGTTGGCAACTGCCCAGCTAAATCCTTGGAGGTCAGTGGCTCACAGGGCAACAGGACGTTAATACCAAGCTGAGTTTTATGGCCTTTTATCTCAGCACTTGAAAAGACACGATAGCAGTTTATATGTCCAAGGCCCAGGGTGTGTCTGTCCATCCCTTGGTGACTCTTTCCTGACTTGTGGTTAAAGGCGGATGAATTAGGTCTGTGCTTTGAAGCTACCTTGGAAGATGGGTATGCGAGCTGAGCAATCCTGTCCCCCATACTCAATCCTTTCCTCATGGCCTTTGCCATGATGGCAGATGAGTGCTTGGGGGATGTTTTTGCTGTGTTTTCCCTTGACAGGCTCAAAGGACTTCCCTACCCTTTCATCTCGCCTCTAATTGGCATCTCCCCACGTCTCTGTAGCACCGGTCGCTGCAGCTGGCATGGCTTGCTGGGGTGGAGCAAGGGAAAAAGGGATTTTCCCGGCTTCAAAACCTGCCTGTCTCTGTGGCGAGGGATGCGATCTTTGCCAGCGAGTGGTGGTGAGAGGGCTGTTGCTGCAGGAGGTCATGGGCATGTCCAGGGATGAAGATAACTGCTGGCCTCAGAGCCAGCACTGGGGCTTGTCCAGGGGATTCCCCCCAAGCCAAACCTGTGCGGAGCCTGAGCTGGGGATGGTCAAGGTTGCAGGGAGCTGTGCTCAGGGCCCATAGGAGGAAAATACAGGGATTTCCTTGGTCAACTGGTGCCTTTTACCTGTAAGAAAACCAGTGTTTGGCTACCAGGTCCTGACGAGGCACAAAGCTTCCCTGGGTGTCCTCTGCAGAGATGCTGCCCTGGGGTTTCCATATTGTTTACATTTCAGCTCAGGGGGGGTTAACTACTGTGTGATAAATCCCTCTGCACACTGCCAAGAAGATAAATGAGATCCCAACATCTTGTCATGTGGTATCTGCCTATCCAGTGACCATCATGGAGAACAAAGTGCAAACACCAAGGGAGACGTCTCCTGGGGTCAATGCTATGGCGATTCAAGCCCTGTGCTGCAATGATTTCTGCAAGCACTCAGCTTCAGATGTTCAATGTCTTTCCATTGGCTTCAGTGGCTGATGCAGGACCCAGCATGATCCAACATGGTTGAGACTCGAGCGGGTCTTTCCAGGTGTTTCCCTGGGCCCCGGGCCAGGTTGATCATAGCTAAGTCGCCAAGTGACTGGTCTGTGTGCTGGATGATCCCCTAGGAACTTGGACATCTTCACTGCACACAACAACTATTCCCATTACTCCTTCCCTGGTTTAAGTGGTTTTCATATTCTCTTCATTTATTTTAGAGTCTGGGCTTACACAGCAAGAAGCTATAAAACAGTTTATTTGCATCTTATATTTCACACTTGCATCTTCCAGAAAGGAGCTGCTTTTAAAGACATCTTTACGCTGGATTTCTTGCCCTGACTGCTCTCACTTGTCCTGCTGGGGTGCTGGAGTCAGAGCCACCCTCCAGCACAGCAGCCGCAGAGCTCGAGTTCCAGCTTTGTCTCTTTTTATTACCATGTCCAAATGCTGGCTTCTGGATGGCACTGAGTTTTCTGTCACGTGTGGGTGCAGGGAGAATGGTTCACTCTGTTTAGGATTTGGCTTCTGGATCCACGCAAGGGGTCCCGCTATCCTGGACGGGACAGAGGGGAGCTGCCAGGCTCTCAAGACCACGAATTCATTCAACAGCTCCAAGTTCGGCATTTCCCAAGGCCTCACCCTCTATTGCTGGTTCGACCATCCTGGAAACTCTTAGTGCGATAGGAAACAGCCAAAGGGAGGGGTCTGTTTTGCTTTTGGGGAGAGATGTAGACAGTTGCTTTGTTTTCCTCCTCCCTTTTTCCCTTAGCCCACCAGGAAAAGCAAGGTCTTGACGTGGTCGGCGCTCACGTGCGGGCGGCGCTGGGCTCCAGCCAGGAGCAGCCTGGGCTCTGTCTGCCTGCACCAGCTCTGCTGCCCTGGGGCACCCATCAGGCTGGGCACCCTGACTGTGGGGCGCAGGGGTGCTGTGGCGTCGCAGCTTCCCTGCCCCAGCATTGCCAGGGACTTTGAGCCTTTTGTGCATGCCTGAGCAGAAGACGGGGGCCACTCTTAGTTTTGCTTTTGTGCCCTGCCCTGCTGAGATCAGAGATTGCTTCCAGGTATTGGCTTCCTCTGGGCAGGCAGGGGCTCTGCAGAAGCTGCCCCAATCCCCTCCGGGATGGTTTCCACCTCTTGGCTCTCTGTGACATAGCGATCCTTGTGTTTCAGGAGGAAGAGGATGGATGTGCTGCCACGGGCGTGTGCCGGGCTGCTCCTCCTGTCCCTGCTCTGTGCCACTGGCCTCTGCCAAAGGAGTAAAAGTGAGTGCAGCCCCTGGTATGTCCATCTGTGGTCCCTGCTTGGCACTGCCCTGCGGGGACTGTGCACACCCCTCCTGGGCTCTGGAGACACCGCTCCTCATGTTGATAAGTCCCTAGGAGATCTGTCCTGTGCCTTTCCTCCTGTTTTTTATCTCCCCAGCAGCTGCAGCCCCTCTCTTGCTACCCCACTGCTGTTTTGTAGCCAGCTTCCACTAACCACCCAGCCAAAAACCTCTACTGACTTGCCCAGGAAAGGGGATCAGCCTTTCTCATGCCCTCCTATGGCTCTCCTGGTTTTCTCCATTCCTTATGTCCTGATCTTTCCCTGTAGATAACCGCTGCTTGCTGTCCCGGGCGAAGAGCTGCACCGAGTGCATCCGAGTGGACAAGGACTGCTCCTTCTGCACCGATGAGGTGAGGCCTTGCAGGGCAGCCCACGGCACCGCTTCCCCCCCTGCAGATAGAGAGGTCCCACCATCCCCAGTGAAAACCAGGGGAGGGACCTGGGAGCAGGGTGCTGAGAGCAGGGTCACCTTCTGGCTCCAGCTCCTCTCTGCAAAGAGCTGCTCTCGATGGGAAGCACCAAAATGCAGGTTTCCTTTGGTGTGAATAAACGAGGAGGAAGAGGTGTCTGGGTGGTGTGGTTTAACCCTGGCTGGCAACTCAGCACCACCCAGCCACCTGCTCGCTCCCCCCGCAGTGGGATGGGGGAGAGAATCAGAAGAGTAGGAGTGAGAAAACTCATGGGTTGAGATAAAGGCAGTTTAACAGGGAAAGCAAAAGCCATGTGCGCAAGCAAAGCAAGGAATGAATTCCCTCCTTCCCATGGCTCAGCCATCTCCAGGAAAACAGGGTTCCATCATGTGTAATGGTGACTTGGGAAGAGAAATGCCATCGGTCCCAATGTCCCCCCCTTTCCTTCTTCTTCCCCCAGTTTCTATACTGAGCAGGACGCCCTATGGTCTGGGGTAGCCCTGGGGCCAGCTGGGGTTGGCTGTCCTAGCTGTGCCCCCTCCCAGCCTCCTGTGCCCCTGGCAGAGCTGAGAAGTCCTTGGCCAGTCTTAGGACTACCCAGCAACAACTAAACCATCAGTGTGTTACCAACATTCTTCTCGTACTAAATCCAAAACACAGCACTATGCTAGCTGCTATGAAGAAAATCAACTATCCCAGCCTAAACCAGGACACTGGGGCAAACTTGCAGGAATAAAGGAGTTTATCAGAAAATGCAAGTGTGCAAGGGATGGAGGGGGAGTCTTATCACAGACAACCCAGTAAAAGGTGGTCGCATTGCCCTGGTGCTGGAGGACACTGGCTCTTCTGTGCGAGACTTGTCCCCATCTCTCTGCCCTTCTGCTCCCAAAGGCTTGCTAATGGTCTTGGAAGAGGCCCCTGACAGGAGCCTTCCCCCCCTGCTTGGAGGACTTGCTGCTTTCTGTGGTTGTCATGTTGTTCTTGCCCCCTTGGCAGAGCTTTAAAGAGCCTCGTTGCGACTTGCGGGAGAACTTGCTGCGGTACGGCTGCGGGGAGGCCAGCATCATGTACACCTGGGGCGAGATGCGCACCGAGCAGGTGGGTGCAGGGGACACAGCCCTTGCTTGGCTTCTCCTGAGGGGCCCCACTGTTCCCAGTGTCCTTCGTGTCCTTTGTCCTCCTCCAGAGTCTTCCG